ATATATTATATTGATATATTGCGTGGTTCCTTAAGAACGGAGCAACAATATATTATATTGATATATTGCGTGGTTCCTTAAGAACGGAGCAACAACATATTATATTGATATATTGCGTGGTTCCTTAAGAACGGAGCAACAATATATTATATTGATATATTGCGTGGCTCCTTAAGAACGGAGCAACAATATATTATATTGACAGTATTGCCGGTCTGCGTGGGCCTTTATCGTGGTCAAAATTGAGTGAAGAACGTCCCTGGATGGATTCAAATCGTCAACCTTTTTTTAACGGTGAACGCGCTAACCTGTTGCGCCACAAGCGCCCGTTGCGCCACAGAGACAGCCGCAGACACACACACTGAGCCACAGTCGTCAAAAAATATCAAGTGGCGCGAACTCCGCATTAGAAACATAACGGCTTCCTGGTCTAGTGGTATAATTAGGGTGCGAGAGGTCACGGGTTCGATTCCCCGGCAAGCTTCTACCCTAGTTCAAGACCAAATGCATGGGGAGAATTTCTCCACTTTGAACATTCACATCGAATCTGGTTAAAATTCGATATTAATTCTCAAATACGCGCTTCTGATTGGATGACATTTCCACTAACTATAACTAATCACTTTTTTTTATAACCGGCCCCTGAAATTATCTTCGAAAAAATATATTTGTAGCCACAAATATATTTGTAGTGGTCTTTTCCCTGGCACAATAGTGGAAAAGTATATACTAAGCCAATTATCTGAGATGATTGTTGGCAAATATCATATAATCCATCTTGAGGCTACGTATCGGCTTGCTCGTCTAGTGGTATGATTCTCGCTTCGGGTGTGAGAGGTCACGGGTTCGATTCCCGTGCAAGCCTTAGTTGTGGCGAATATATTCTTTTTGAAGATGTTTGATTTTAATTGTTTTGTGCTTGATTTAAACGAATACATTGAAGAAGTCGAAAATTTCACCCAACGTCTATGATTTTGAAAAGAAGTGGTTATTTATCTTTTGGCTAAAAATGTCTAAAATTTAACTGTTGTGAATATATCAGTGATTGTGCAGAAACATCTGTTCATCGATGAGGTTGATGCTTCGTGCACCGTTCGATTCAATAGGGGTGATTTATAGGGGTGATTTTCTACTTTGAACATGTACTTCAAATTTGCTTTCCTTTAAAAGTTTGGTCCCGCCCCTCTATAAATTTTCCTAGAAAAATTGTCGCATTTTTGTGCCAAAATTGAGTGAAGAACGTCCCTGGATGGATTCGAAGCACCAACCTTTCGATCAAGAGCCGAACGCGCTAACCCGTAGCGCCACAGAGACAGCTGCCGACACGCACACTGAGCCGTCATCGTCAAAAAGTAGGTTTTCACTTGTTCCATTACCAAACTGACATTACGTCATTTGATCAATTTCTAAAGTTGTTTCTTTTTGGATTTTTTAATTAATTTGGTTAGGGTTAGAGTTAGGGTTGCGGTTAGGGTTAGGGATTAGAGTAGGGGTAGGATTTGGGCTAGTTACATAGCCATTTAACACCTCTTCAATCTTCCGAAAATGACGTCATGTCAGTTCGGTAGATGGAAACAAGTGCTGACCCAAAAAGTATCAATGTGGCGCGTACGCAACCTCGTTCCCAGGGTCTTTCTAGACCCTGGGAACGAGGTTGGCGCGTACCTCCAGACCGGCGAAATATTTGGAAATCCCGGGATGTCTTCCTCAGCTAACCTCACGTTCCTGTCTAAAGACAAGCACGCATGCATAGAGACACTTCATAGATTCCTACTTTTCTTTAGACGTATAACCGCTGCTATCAGGTGGTAGCGCTCATTTCCCTGCATGGAAAAGTAGTGGAAAAGTATATACTAAGTCAATTACTCTGAGATGATTGTTGGCAAATATCATATAATCCAATTATCTGAGATGATTGTTGGCAAGTATCATATAATACAATAGCAGGGAGGTCATGTCGCGGGCTTGCTGGTCTAGTGGTATGATTCTCGCTTCGGGTGTGAGAGGTCACGGGTTCGATTCCCGTGCAAGCCCTAGCTGTGGCGAATATGTACTTTTTTATTTTGAAGATCTACCTGAAAATATTTACATTACGACAACGTAGAAATTATTCCGTGTTATTGTCACTTTTATTGTTAGTGTTTGTTTTAATTGTGTTGTGTTTGCTACATTGAAGAAGTGTCTTCCCCAAATTACTGGGCTTGCCTGTCTATATAAAGACGCATCAAAATTAACATAAAGTATTTCATAGAATCTTACTTTTCTTCAAACAGAAAACTTAACGTGCTTGACGGCTGCTATTAGGAGCTGGCGCTTTTTCCGAGTATACCATTGTCCCCATCTATAACACTTAGTGAAACCCACGTATAATAACAGATTGTAAATTTGGATGAGCCATGCCGTACCGATGGCAAACACAATCCGGGCAAAACGTACACCATAGTAATATTGCTTCGAGTTACCATATAATATTTGACTATACGGTATATATAGTTATGCTCCAGCTAGATACTCGCTTTCTTTGCACATGTAAAGGCCGTTTTCCACTAGGCGGAATTTTGCGCGCGGAGCGGAATTTTTCTTTGTCTTGTGATTTCTCGGGAGGAACGTAGTAATTAGAAAAGACAAAGAAAAATTCCACTCCGCGCGCAAAATTCCGCCTAGTGGAAAACCGGCTTAATTAGAAAAGACAAAGAAAAATTCCGCTCCGCGCGCAAAATTCCGCCTAGTGGAAAACCGGCTTAATTAGAAAAGACAAAGAAAAATTCGGCTCCACGCGCAAAATTCCGCTTAGTGGAAAACCGGCTTAATATCGGCCCGGGAATGAAATTTGCAAGCAATAATTTATTTTCGTCCATATCATAACAAATAATCTGCATACATAAGTTGCTTTATAGGTCGCTTTAGGATCACATTAGCATATATTCACTATATAACATAACCAATCAGATCTTGGATTTTGACGAAAGAACATTGCATAAATGAATATAAATCCGCTTTCATCGTTAGATGCAGGTCAACTATTACGTTTTACCACCTGAAATTATCTATTCAATGATTCGAACCATCAACCTTTCGGTTGACACGAGACGCACACTGCGGCATAGCCGATGTCAAAAAATACCAATGTGGCGAGAACTGTTTCTACCGGCCAGACAGGGTTCAGGAATCCTGATGTGTGGAGATTTTCTTCCTGAACATGTACTTCAAATTTGTTTTTATATCAAAAGTTTTACCATTTGATGGGATTCGAACCATCAACCTTTCGGTCAACAGCCGAATGCGCTAACCATTGTGCCACAGAGACGCGCTCGGGCGAACCGCCATTGTCAACCGACAATATATATTGTATAGCGCGTATTGTTTCTTGCTCTAGAAGAAATATTCAGAAATCGCGATGTGTGTTCATCAACTATAACTCCACATTGCAGCATGTCAAAAGGCAATTAAATACGCCCCCGTAAATATAGACACAGAAGTATTTTACACACTCTTACTTTCTTCAAACAGAGAACTTACCGTAACTGCTGCTATCAGATAGTAGCCATGTGCTTGTTTTAACTGTTTTGTGTCTGCTTTTAACGAAACACTAAAAAAGTCAAAACCTCAATTTCAGCCCTAGATTTCGAATTGCACTCTTCACTAGAAGACTACGTCTTTGAGAAGCAAATGAAATGATTGAAATGATTTTGTATTCGGTAACGCCCCAGATGGATTCGAACCATCAACCTTTCGATTAACAGCCGAACGCGCTAACCCATTGCGCCACAGAGACGAACTGTGCGGCACGCAGAAAAATTTTTTGGGATCACTTTAAGGCTTGGTTACCAAGCACTGAGCTATATAAATACAATGGATAATTGGTTATCATTACGTAATACGTATCGGCGAGCAGAAAAATTTTTTGGGATCACTTTAAAGCTAGATTACAGTCGCTTCTGCGCATGTGTCAAAAATGTAAACAAATGTGAGCACACTTGTTTGATAGGCACTTATAGTACGTATTCCATATATGGTCATCTCTTGCATAATACTGATGAGCAAATACACGACACTCACGAGCATATACATGACGCTGAAGAGCAAATACACGACATTCCCAGTACTTTGGTACTGCGCGATTCGAAGTAATAAG